CAAGTGTTAGTAATTTTGTATTATATAGGTTGTGGAATCCCAGGAGGAGGCACCTCCAGAGCAACAAATGCAAACCCTCCTGCAACAGATTGCTACGTGCACCTGGAGAGATGTGACGGCCCACAGCAGGCGTGTGCCACCCCTGTGACGAGAGAATGCTTCGTTAAATTGCGGAGATGTGATGACTTGGATGAGGTAATTAATGACACCTCTTCTTTATTTGGCAGAGGAAAAACCTTTAAATATTTCAGTCTGACAGTCTGATAATTGTTTGTGAACTCTTTTTTTAGAATGATGATGGTAATCTGGAGCAAGTGACTGAGCCAGCCAAGCTTGTCCATGCCAAGAAATTAAAGAGGGCAGTGCAGTATGGTGTAAGTATTTAAAAATGAATCATTTTGCTCATAATAAGATTTAATATCTGTTGAACTAAGTTTATTCAACCTTATTTTGTAAATTCTTACAGTTTGGAGTTGCTAATAGAACTGGCGTGCTGCAAAATGTGCCCAAAAGATGGCAAGATACATGCCAATTTCAAGCACATACAGAAACACAAGGACTGTGATGCTAAAAAGCTGCATGCCTATGCACAAGTGATGTATTGCAGCAATATGAGAGGACCTTACTATGGAAAGGCACTAATTGATTCCCTTGAGAATGCTGCCAAAGAGTCCAGGAAAGCATTGGAAAAAACCGTCGACAACATTAACGCAGGAGTCGGTCTTGTTGACAATGTACGCCTAGCCTGCCCTATGATATGGACCAAGTTTTTGACAAGGACTACGTAAGTGTTGCAACGTTGTGTTACTTTAACGGCGAATGGTTTAGTTTATAAGTATGTTATAACTAGTTACACTTGTTTCAGGTCATTCCTCCAGACCATATTAGGGGCCGTTCATATACTACGTAGTTCATTTTGAGGGAGGGGGGGTTCAGCCTTGTACTACGGACGGTCACGGAGGGGGGGGGGAGGGGGTAGGTGCTGGTCACGTAGTATTCGTCTAATTCCCGTTTTGCACCACCAAAACACCGCGTCGTTTCCTCTAATTCGTTCAAGTGCTCCCCTTTCGACTAAATTTTTGTCCGTTTGGCGCCATCTTTCACCGGTTGGGAGCTAGAGTGCGGTTTTCGACGAAAATCCGGTGAAAATGACTACGCTGTACATACACACTTGCAAGGAGGCGCCAAATCGGAAAATGACACACTGTAAAAAAAGTTTTACTGAATTTTCAGTACTTTTAGTCTGAAGTTTTTTTACAGACCAGTAGTCTGAAAATTCAGACTGCACCTGGGTCTGTAACTTCAGTACTGCCTTACCATACCACTTAGTCTGAAAATTCAGACAGCCGGTATTAAAATATTTTTGAAAATGTTAAAAATGAACACATAGCGAGCCACTTAACAACTGTGGGGGTAGAGAGTTATGCCCAGGTGAGGACATATCTGTCCATTCGGTACTGCCCTTGGTTGGGATCGAACCGCCAACCTTTAGGCTCGGAAGCCGCAACCTTAACCATTCAGCTGCCGGCTACTTGCGTGGTGGTCAGATTCTAAGTAAGGACTCTAGTAAAATTCTAGTGCTAGAAACAATCTTTTGATTAGTAGATTGTAACAATGGTCATGTATGGTCGTATATGCTTATATGTGGGTCTCCATATTTTTATATATGCTTCAATATACATCCATATTGGCACCAATATATACCCATATTTAAGCATATACAAGCATACATACTAATAAAGTACAATGTCTGTCTGTATATAGAAACGTATATGGTGAAATAAAGACACATAGCAGGTGGCTGATTCAAGTCGCTCACTTGCATAGTTATGGTGTACCGCATGCAAGGTTGCGGGCGAGTTGCCCACTCGCACGGGACCATAAAGAGCCGTAGCCAGCAAGCATAGGCAAACACGCCCGCACTCGTAAATGCGGTGCACTATAACTATGTAAGTGGGAGGTGTGAACCACCTACCTGGTATATGCCAATATATCATGCCATATACAATTAAATTTAATCCATATTTAGTTATATATCCTCATATATGTAGCCAAATTTGAGGACAAACAGCTATCTTTTTGAGCGTGGTAGACAAACGGCTCTCTTTTTGAGCTTGGCAGACAAACGGCTATCTGCTTTTCTTTGAGGTTAGGGTTGTCCACGTTTATATTAAATAACTCCCGAAGCAAGAGACATAAAATTACCGGGTAAGAAATTTCCTGCTTTGACATACACAAAGAATAATTGGTTAAACGCTCATAGTGTTACATAATCTCTACTGTGAAATATTAGAACCCAAGGTCGCGAGGTGGGAAAAGCAGTTAGCCGTTTGTCTGCCATGCCGAAAAAGATAGACTTTTGTCTGCCACGCCGAAAAAGATAGCCTTTTCTCTGCCACGCCCAAAAAGATAGCCACTTGTACGTAGGGAGGGTCGAGGTCGTTTGCATAAGTCCGCTAGATAGCTTTTCTAAAGCAGAGGAAAGAAGGAAGAGATCCACATAGATACACTTCAAATCATTAACATTACTCGCTCTCGAGATCTTGAAGGTGTTTCATCACCCATTACCTAAAACCTGAGTATAATAAGTTGAAAGATCAGACTTCGTCATTAGCCCGCCCTTCTGCTTTCAAAAAGCTATCCAGTGGGCTTATGCAAACGACCTCGCGTCTGTCTGTGTGTCTGTCTGTCTGTGTGTCTGTCTGTTCCACAAGAAGGAGATGTACTAGAGACTGCAAATTTTCAGGGGATCTCAAGGATCGCTCCCACAAAACAAAACGCCTACGGCAAATCCTGCCAACCACCCTTGAGGGGCTGAAAGGGGGTATTGAGGACAACAGGAAAGGCCAAAAAAGTTAGATAAAATAACTCGTGTAAGTTTAGCCCTTTGGATTAAAATTTCATCCGTTTCGCTCTACCTCTCACCAGTTAGGCGCCACAGAAAGTTTCTCTCACGAAAGTGGCCCAAAAATGAATGTATTAATTTTAGAAAATATCGGAGTCTCCTTTGGGGTAACTTGAGAAAGTAGATCCCTTTGACCAAAATCTTCGTCCGTTTTGCTCTATCTCTCACCATTGGGGCGCTAGAGGGAGTTTCTCTCACAAAAGTGGCCCAAAATTAATGTATTAATTTTCGAAAATATTGGATGGTCTCCTAAGGGGTTACTCAAGAAAGAAGTGCCCTCTGGGCGAAAATTTCGTCCGTTTGGCTCTATCTCTAACCCTTTAGGCGCTGGAGGGCCTTTTTTTGACGAAAATAAGGTAAAAATTGCTGTAAAGAACATTAAGTTGTACAAGAAGGCCTAAAAACCGCAAAAGAGGAAAGAAACTCCCCCCCCCCTCAAGGAACGTTTTCTAGGCAGAAGGGTGAGTTTTAGTCGCGGTGCTTCAACGTTACGTCCCTTTAACGTGTCTACGGGACAAATTTTAAAGACGACGGAGCGTTACATCATTTGATTATGTTCTTCAGCAAATCGCGTGACAGAAATGGTCGGGCCTGCAGCCCGACCATCGCCGCCGGCCGCCGGCAGGCCAAGCAGGCCCGGCTCCTGCCGAACGGAGTTGCCGGTGGAGCGAAGCGGAGCTGGCAACTCCGTTTCGCGGAAGGGCGGGCCTGCTTGTTTTTCCCTTAAAATTGTACTAGAATTGGTAGATAACCAGCTAGTAAAGGAGTTTCAAGCGAATGTATGTGTGTGTGAGTGTGTTTGTCTGTAATCACGATAACTCGAGAACGGTTTGAGCTAGGTACCTGAAATTTCTAGTGTATTATAAAAGCAAGAACTGTATTGATTTTGAGCCCTGTAGCTTAAAAATTGGACGAGAACGGGCCATTTGAAATGCATTTGGAAAATATTTGCTAATTTTTAATTATTTCTTTATAGTTTTCCATGGGGTAACTCGTCAAAGTAGAACCCTCTGACCGAAAATTTCGTCCGTTTGGCTATATCTCTAACCGTTTAGTCGCCAGAGGGCGATTTGAACACGAAAATGACCCCAAACCATTTTAATGTTGTTTCTCAGATATTTGATGGTCTCTGGTGGGGCAACTCGTCAAAATAAAATCCTGGGGGTAAAATTTGTGTCTTTTGATGCCGAAGGCCTATACACGACTCTGCCTTTTGCCCGACTCGGGTGTCAGCGCCGCAGGCCTAGGTAGATGTATGCCAGGCGCGTCGCAGCGTAACAGTGTTTCGTGAGATATCGCGAAGCCTGTTACGCGAGATGTGGTCTGGCGCACATCTACCTAGTTATAAGCAACTGTAATAAATCTAACCTGTTTAATGACTCATTTAATAACACTGTCAGAAAACTCAAGCAGAGAATGGAATAATCAGATATCAAAACAAAACTCATTAGAATAAACAGCGTCCATGACGAACAAAAACTCATATCATCCTTCTTAGACACTATTCATTAGTGAATTTTCTTAAACGTGTGTCGTACAATTACAAATCCAAATGGAAAAGTTCTAAGAACTACGTACGAAACTTGGAATTCATCAACGAACATGATTGGGCTGAAATAAATTTACAACATTACACAACACAGCACATTTGTTACGAAATACGTCGACAAATTATACGATGCTATTTTTCCTTGTGGCCCCGCCTCTTTCTAAAACTGAAGTTCCTGTAACCTGTGTTTCAGAGCATTTGCCTGACGAAAACGCGCGGGTAGCGAGATGTGAGATGTCCTAATTAGTAATGCCATGCGAATCAAAGCATGTCGTTGGGTGGTATGCTTTCAGTTGCGCTTCCAGCGCAGGCAACATTGCACTTTATTTCTCATTAGTGATCCAACGCGGTTGTCAGGCTCGCAGTCGGTGTAAGGCAGAGTGGTGTGTCAGTTGCTAAGCTAAATATTTATACTTCGTGGCAGCCTTGGTTATGGTGTATTTCGGTAGACCCATATAAACGTCGTCTGATGCCCTAAAACGCTTGAACGTTGTCCGGTCTCGTAGTGAATCTGAACAGTTGTCCGATCTCCAACGTAGGTTAATGTTACAAAGAGTCACGGCGAGTTGGGGCGACGTTGAAGGGTCACTGGGATATGGGACAATTTTGAAGCATCGCTGGGAGATCGGACGATGTGCATAGGACCCATAACTGACTTCATTCGACGAAATTTGAATCTTGATATTATGTTTTTTTGGTGCTTGTCATGTACGAAAAGTGTTGTTTATGAACAAAATTCCGCTTTTTACGCTATTCCGCAATAAGGTATTGTAGTGAATCCTGGGGCCAGGAATAAGGGGAAAATGGAATTAAAAATAGCGGAACCAGCTGTTAGAGCAAGTCTTTCGGTTAAAACTTAACACGTTAAAACTCTTTTCTCCTTCCAAAACCTTACCATATCAATTCTAGTACCCCTGAGGGCTCGCGTTCAACTGCTGGCTCGTCTATTTTAATCGCATTTTCCTTCTTACTTCCCAGGCGGACTGCGTCACATTTTAGCTCGTCTCCATTAAAAGACTGGTCGGATTGCCAAACGGACCACACCTGATTTCAACCGCCAAGAAAATGCAGAAAATAGGTTGAAACGTATCTTAACTTAAATAGACGTCACATCTTTGGGCAG